CTCCTGCTGTGGTAAATATCTCACGAGGGAATATAATTTATTTAAGTAATTTCCTTTGATGTGATCACTTTAAAAGGTGTTTTCTATTAACGTAAGTCATCTTGGTTGGATATAAATTTATGAAAGTTGAAGTCACATTTTTTTTTTCTTCTTTTTGGTTTTTTTTGGTTTTATATATACAACGACAACTAATTTCTTTACCTCTGTTTCATTAATATAACATCGTTTGTAGTTTGAATTTTCTGAAGTTTTGTTGGTTGTCCCCCTGTTGTTATGGTTACAAGATCAAAGGTGCATCATTAACACAGATTTTTCATAATAGTTTAACAAGATACAAACTGGTTTATGTTAGTGTATATTAATTTGAACCAGTCCGTCTGGCCGTCCCACTGGTTAACCGGATCACAATTCTTACATTATCATTTGTCAAAGTTTGTTATTACGGAATCATTCAGCTAATGGTACTTATTTTATAGTTTTGATAATTATCTTGGCCATATATACACACATTTAAGAATTTATTTATTGTGAATCGCCAAATTTTTACAGGGAAGAATATACTTACACCTGGCAATTGCAATTTTGTTTAGTTTTATATAAGAAAATTATCTAAAATATTAAGTGATTGCTATAGCGAATGTTGGTTACTCACGATAGAAAAACAAAACACAACAGGCTCAAACTACCGACCCTTAGGACAAGAAGCGAGTGATATATCGACACGACCACCATACTTACGCACACAGGGAAAAATACAAAACAAACTAACGTATACATAAGGAAAATTGATGCACAGGACCCGAGGATATCGTTAAGTGGTTAAGGACGTGGTTGAGAGACAAGACACATGTGGTGTACCCAGGGCTTTGTTCCCGCACTGTTTATATTAGACATAAACAACATCGATATAAGTTTAGAAAATAACTTGAAAATATATCCTGAAGACGAAGCAAATCCATGTAATAAAAACAGATGAGTCGAAAGATTACGGGCAGGAAAAAAAGAGAGTTAGACCTTAATAGTGGCAAAAATTTTATTAGACAACATTTACATAGGGTGTGTTTGACTTCACTTAGATGATGCTATATAGTCAGTCTTTTACAGGATATTGATTCATATATAAAGATACATTAATAATCTGACTCTGCATTACCTTAAGAAACGTACAGCGAGAGGCGAGATGATCGAGTCTACGTATTGAAGATGGTGTTTAATAAATAATATACCTGTAAATGTGGTGCTTCAGTTGTCACATTAAGACAGGTCACGTGATAGTGGATTTAAATGAAAGAAACTTCCTCCTCTCTCCCTCTCATCTTCCCCTCTCACCTACTCAATCTCTTCCCCTCTCACTTTCACTCCCCCTCTCACCTATACATTCACTGCTACTCATGTTGTTACCTCCTATTCCTCTCTTCCTCTCTTCCTCTTCCCCTCTTCTCAAAATTTATGAAGGGAGATGATAAACAGCAGCTTCGGTAAAGGGCTGTAGGATAAGTGGAACAAGTGGCCAGTTATCACCATTAGAGAGTTTCGAAACCACCTAAGTCATTCTTGAGTGAGTGAGAATGTTTGTGGGTAAAACAAGAGCTGCCTCACCAGGGGGTCAGTGAACCTATACTGCAGTTTCCTTCTAGTCATGTTTTCGCAGTCAGTCATTTACATTATTGACAAAGTTACGATGTGTTTCGCTATAGTGTGGCTTAGGCTCGTCGTAGTGAAGATTTTATGCCCTAACACTGTATTAAGCATGACCCCGTGTTATAGAGACCTGGCAGTAATATGAGGTTTAAATTCGTCATGATTTTAAGCTCAATGTTTACACTGTCAAAACCTCGTCAATAGGAAGTATCCTTTAGGGCGCATTTAGTGACTATATGACCCACTACTCTTATACCCGAGGTCAATTAAGGTATAGAGACGCCTTCATACATCTGCAGAAAGAAGGAAAATTTTGCGTGTGATTTGGTTAAGGTGTAGGGACTTAATATCGTGAGGGGCAGAGAGGAGAAATAATCAACATTGACTCGACAACCAACGGCAACCTCAGACAGTGAAACGAGATCATTTTTTTCCCTCTTCTTCTACTTTTTCTCGAGTATCCTGTGAATAACTTAATGTTACTGAAATTGATTTTTTATTATTATTTAATTTTTTTCACCATTGACATATTTTACCTTAACTGAAGATTATAAGTTCATTACCCTTCGTCAGTGTTCAATTCTCGCCAGTGACGTCAACGGCCATCACCCTGGTATTTCCTAGAGACAACAGGTGATTACAAGCTAACGAGGTAATTGACTTGTATCATCAGCATATTACGAGATAACTAAATTATAAAGTCAGCATATTACAAGATAAATTGCCTCGGTGTGTGTACAGGGAATTGCCTCGGTGAGTGTACAGGGAATTGCCTCGGTGAGTGTACAGGGAATTGCCTCGGTGAGTGTACAGGGAGAGGACATTTGTTTATGAAATACGTATAAAAGTTTTAAATCTTATTCGTCATTCTTTTCCCTCTATTAGTCACTCAAGGTTCGTATTTGTGTATTTAAAATATTCTCTTAACTTCACCCACAATAACCTGACCCACAACTGTTTTGCTTTCTTATCTCGGGTTCTGGGTGGTGTTATATGTTTTAATTTCGTGTTTTGTTTTATATACCAAGATGAGCAGTGATTTGTGTGTGTGTGTGTGTGTGTGTGTGTGTGTGTGTGTGTGTGTGTGTGTGTTTATCTAGATGCGTTAAGAGATTACAAGGATCAGTCGTAAGTGTTAAATATTAAGATAACTAACATGAAGTGAACGAAGACTCCAATAATATGAGTTTGTTTACATTTTAGAATACAATCTGCCACGTTGGGTGAGCACTTTGAATATGCGTCCTTCTATTTACCAACAAACTCGACCCCCAACCCCTCAACCCCCAGCCCAACCCCCAGCCCAACCCCCAACCCCACCCCAACCCCACCCCCAGCCCCACCCCCCAGCCCAACCCCCAACCCAGCCCCAACCCAACCAACCCAGCCCCCAGCCCAACCCCCCAACCCAACCCCTAGCCCAACCCCCAGCCCAACCCCCAGCCCAACCCCTAGCCAACCCCCCAACCCAACCCCCCCTCCTAAACGTATATACATTTTTAACTGTATATAATATAGACGTGAAAGCAATGGTCAGGATATTGTTGAATTTTATAATTGGTGAACTGTTTAAGTTTTATCAGTCACTAGGAAAGTTAAATATGCTGAAAAGTATAATTAATGGAAAAGTTTGATCGTTGGTAAAGTTTGGTCGCTAGGTGATGTTTACTGACTGGAAGTGTCTAGGCTTACTGGAAACATTTATTTAAAGGGAAAGTTTGATGGCTAGGAAACAATATTTAGTTGATTACGAGCAGACTTCAGGGCAATAACAGAACAGTTCAAAAAGAATCAACTATACCACAACATTAATCAACAAACTCTCTGGATATTTTGATAGTTGTTATTGATTCCTTCACTTGGGACTCAGGTACGGAGTTTTAACCACACAGTTTTATGTAATTCAGGTCAAAAACTCTTATTACTGTTGCAAGTTGTCTCTGTAAACCTCATGAGGAAGCGTCAACAACAAATAAAGATATAGAGTGTCTTTTGTTGTGATGATCTGTAGGGGTAGAGGACTCCACACACCACAGAGCCCCCAGGTGACAGTAAGAGTAATTAAACTTCTTGTATTACCTCACTGCCAGCACGAACACAGACAGGTAATGGGTGGAAGTGGAGATGGTAGATGTGTGAAAGGATAGGTGATGAATAGGAGTTGAAGCATGTTGGTGAAGGATAGGGGGATAGAAGAGACGGAGAAATTGTCGAGGAAGGATAGGAAGGAGGGTAGGGTTAGATTTTTTTTTTTTTAGATTGCCCCCGAGGAGGCTAGTTTATTGGGCACCCCCTTACATCCTGTGCAAGGTGAAGCGCAGAAGCGTTTACAGCGCCTATCTGGGAAGCATGCGTAGTTCATGCTTGCCTTCATGACTCATGCATTAAGGGCGTAAAAGCCTGAAGGGTCGTGGGATTTGTCAGCAAGTTACATAAAGTGACAGAATGATGAGTGTGTGGGGGAGAAAATTCCCGGTACAATTTATCTGTTTATGGCAGAGTATGGCAGGTCCCTAATAATGTCAAGTGCCAGGCCATAGCCATTGACAATACTGAGGGACATTCCTTTTAGTGTGATTGTGATGGCGTGTACGTCGGTAGTATGGGTGGAGAGCTCGTCTGAAGAGGTTAGGCCGTTAAGGGGTGACGAGAGGATGGTCTCACAGTGAGCGGTGATGGATGATGGTGTCTGAGGACTGCGTTACTAATTTCATGGTCTGGTATTCCTCCCTCTACGACGATGTGTTTTTTTTTTGCTTGTTGTTTATATGTCTGTTTCCTGTTTCTCTCTCTCTCTCTCTCTCTCTCTCTCTCTCTCTCTCTCTCTCTCTCTCTCTCTCTCTCTCTCTCTCTCTCTAATCAGATCTCCGTTTATATATATCTTGTTTCGATTATCATTTCTCTTCTTCCTTCCCTCTTTTCCCCTACATGTTTCCTCTTACCTTCTTTACCCCCTCTCCTTCCATTTCCCCCTCCTTCCCTCCCTTCACCCTCCTTCCTCTCACACCCTCCATTCCTTTCACCCCTTCCCTCCATCCCTCCCACCCTCCTATCCGCCTCTCACCCCCCCTTCTTCTCATCCTCTATTCTACCCTCCCTCCCTCCCTCCCCTCCCTCCAAGTGGTAATGTTATATTACACCTTTACAGCACTGAGGGCCCCAGAATCTTTACGGTCAAGTTTTGTTATTATTATTATTATTATTATTATTATTGTTATAGTCATCGTTATCATCATCGTCATTATCATCATCCTATTATTCTCATTTAATTATTATTTTGGTGCTCGCTGGCGGGGGTTCCTTGGAGCCGTCGCTGGTGGTAAGCAAATCCAGAATGACTTTGTGCTATTGTGTTGCAGGTCATCTGAACCTCTGAGTGCTGGAGCCAACAACGGTAAGTGGCTTGATGATGTGCTGTTGTGTATGTGAACCTGAATACATACACACACACATGTAGCCTGGCTTAATATGTTGTCAGATTCGACTTAACTGGTACTTTGTTGTCTCCTTTACATACTGTCCAGGTCTGTTGCTCGTGGTCACCATGGTCACATTCAAAACCACTTTCCATCGTCTTTAATTCTTTGAAAATGTTACGACTCGGTGTCCTCAACATGTTCATGCAGCAGTGACAGCGTTCCTCAGTTCATCATTCGCTTGGCAGCGTTGTTTTGCCGCGATCTCTTTGATGCGTCCCCAGTGAGGATTCTCATAAGTGCTGAGGCTGGAACCCCTTGCAGACCACGTCAGTAATGCTGGGGATGTCGCCCGCCCGCCATTGATCCATTTACCTATATAGTAATGTTATATTCATAGTTATTATAAGGGACACGGGGACTCCTCCTTGCACGTGTTCCAATAGAAAAAACAAAATGAAGAAATATGAAAGGCTGTTTATCCTTAACTTTCCATAATATAAAAATTAATTTGAAGAAGTTGGTCGTGGGTGATCACATAACAGCACCATCACTAAGTATAAGGTCGTCGTCAAATGTAAAAATCGTGTCTGCTGATGAAAGTTCTGATCAGCAGCTGATTCCTGGCTAATCCTACTTTTTTTTCTTTTATATTGTTCAGTGAAAACAATGAATTACGGATTTTACAGCCGAAATGTAAGCAGTTATCGTACTTGCCTTTTAAGAAGCTAAGTCTTCTACCCTTGATGAGAGATTCTCTTTTACATAGAATTCTGCTAGACTATAAGTGATGTTCTTAACAGGAGTAAGAGTGTTATGTTTCACCAGTCTCCACGTTGGTTAGACTTCACTTATATTATGTGGTTCAGATTTTGGTCACCGTACTATAGATTCCCCCAAAAGCATTCAGTGGATGACAAAATTAATTCCAGGCATTAGGAACCTTCTGTTTAGAGACAGATTAAGAAAACGGAATTTTCATTCTCTTGAGAGACGTTGAGTGAGGGGCGATATATACGAAGCGTATAAGTGGAAGTTATGGGTTAAAAACGAACACTTGGCATTGGTTTTAATTTAAAGAAATTTAGATTAGGAAGAAGATAGATAAACAATGGTTCTATGACTGGGCTGTGGACGAGTGCAGCAAGTTACCAAACATCATCATTAACTCGAACTTGTTGGGAAGTTTCAAATATAAATTGGACAAATAAATGTGTGGTAGAGCTGAGGTACACAGGAGCCATTAGTTATGTCTATATATTTCAGTCAATAATACACTAATTTAATACAAATTTGAAGGGTGAACGTTTTATGCGACGTATTAGGCAAAAAAGAATTCTCAAAAATCATTAAGTGAACTGTGATCAAAGGTGGCATTTGGACACTGAATGAGGGTAGTGAGAGGTTCTCGAAGGTGTACCAGTGTACCAGAGAACATGATACAGTGTACCAGAGAACATATAATGTACCAGAGAACATGATACAGTGTACCAGAGAACATTATACAGTGTATCAGAAACATTCCACTCAACAAAACATCTTCTGGTTATTGTCTTTAATAACATCTTGGTTAACGCGTGGCAAGACCCGTTAACAGAGCGCCAGCATCCTTCATTCTGTTCCTTCCTGGCTAGCTACACCCTCACCCACCTACCGCCTTCCCCCACCCACACCCACCTACCGCCGTCCCCCACCCTCACCCACCTACCGCCGTCCCCACCCTCACCCACCTACCGCCGTCCCCCACCCTCTCACCCACCTACCGCCTTCCCCACCCACACCCACCCACCGCCTTCCCCCACCACACCCACCTACCCACTTAGTCCCCCACCCTCCTTACCACTACCATAGTCCCCACCCACACCCACCTGTAAGGTCCCCACCCACCCACCTGCCGTCCCCACCCACCCACCTACCGCCTTCCCCACCCACCCACCACCGCCTTCCCCACCCTCACCCCACCTACCGCCGTCCCCCACCCTCACCCACCTACCGCCGTCCCCACCCTCTCCACCCACCTACCGCCGTCCCCACCTCACCCACCCACCGCCTTCCCCCCACCCTCACCCACCTACCACCGTCCCCCCACCCCACCCACCCACCGCCTTCCCCCACCCTCACCCACCACTACCGTCCCCCACCCTCACCCACCTACCGCCTTCCCCACCCACCTACCGCCCGTCCCCCCACCCTCACCCACCACCACCGTCCCCCACCCTCACCCACCTACCGCCGTCCCCCACCCTCACCCACCTACCGCCGTCCCCCACCCTCACCCACCTACCACCGTCCCCCACCCTCCTGCCCACCTACCGCCCGTCCCCCCACCCTCACCCACCTACCACCGTCCCCCACCCTCACCCACCTACCGCCTTCCCCCACCTGTGTCCAACGTGGCCACCACCTCACGCGTCAGCCAGGTCACCCTTTCTGGATCGCCCAGTTTGCGAGTCCCTCATCTAGCTCCAGGTTTATATGTGAACATGATTGGCTGCTCGCCCCAGTGAATAGTTACCACACCTCCATCATTTGTCAACACTCGCTCTGGCTGTCACCCTGTGTTCGCCAGCCGCTCGGCCATCATTCATATCCCGTCACCGGCACACTATCTGCTCCTGTAATCAACACATCTGAAACTGTGCTCCACATCACTGTTTTTTTCTGCGTTGACTCCAGTTATTTTCTTTTGTAATTATCTGTTTTTCTCAGCTGTTGTATTATGGTTGGTTGTATGTTCGTATATGTTGTTATTTCTCTCATAACCAGCCTCTTCAAGCGCCGTTTCCTCTCACTGACATAATTGATGTACAGGGAAATTGGTCATAGCCCAGAAACAGAACTGTCAGGGTCCTCCTTCCACAGGGAGAGTCACTGTCAGGGACCTCCTTCCACAGGGAGAGTCATTGTCAGGGACCTCCTTCCACTGGGAGAGTCACTGTCAGGGTCACTGCCTCCTCCACAGGGAGAATCACTGTCAGGGTCCTCCTTCCACGAGGAAAGTTACTGTCAGGGTCCTCCTTCCACAGGGAGAGTCACTGTCAGGGACCTCCTTCCACAGGGAGAGTCATTGTCAGGGACCTCCTTCCACTGGGAGAGTCACTGTCAGGGACCACTTGTCATTTCAGATCTAAAGTGTACACCTCACATCGAATCATCAGCCATGTTTAGTATATCTATTGATGGAGTTTATCATAACTCAGTCAGAACTCTATTGAAAGCTTTCAACTGAGGTATTAATCTTAACACTAAATCCAGGTAAACCGTGCTGACTATCCCAGAGACCAGATCACAACACACGGCCCTCATAATAATAACCTCGTATCACCGCTCGGCTTCGCTCTCCTTACACCGCTAAATCCTGTTCTCCATCTTTAAAAATCACTAAACCTCTGCTAACTTGTCAAGTACGATGAAACAGCATTCTCAGTAATGGACACAAGTCTACATTATGGAATCTTCAAACTACAGTATTGTGAATGGCTACATAATTTTACAGTTAGGGAAGTGAGGGCGGTCGAGTACAGTGCCACCCACACTGCTTCCTTGTGTACTGAAGGTTTGGTCAATAGTCAGCTGCATCTGCACTGCCCCTACCGGCCCCTCATGGTTATGGAACCCACTTTCTTAGTTTCATGAGACGCATTTTATTTATTCCCTAATCCCTGTGCTTTTAATCCTGTGTCGGGTTGGCTTAAAACTGTATATTTCGTCGATTTTATCCTCGCTTTCATTCTAGGATTTAATTGATAAAGTCCCGTGTGTGGCTGTGCTTGTTTGTCCATGTAAAAATTAACTGTTGTTTGATCTTGTGTGTGTGTGTGTGTGCATCTGTGAGCGGGTTGCAAAATGGGTGTGTTATGGTGTGTGAGTATTTGTGTGTGGTGGATGAGTGGATATAACAGTCACTTTCTGTCTTAAGCGTCATTGAATCGCGCTTAGGCATCCAAATTCACCTACAGTAGATGTGAACAGATACCAAACTTTACATAAAGGAAGTGAGGGCGACCGTGTGTAACGCCGGCAAGTTGACACTCGGTATATAGAACCTCAACTCTCCCAAAGATGCGACAGAGGTGTTACAAATACAAACTACAATATAGTTTTAACCAACAGTGTTCATTACGCGTGTTGTGCGTGTTACTGTACCGTTGCTTGGCCGTCACTACACTTGTTAGGTTTGGGTGATTGCAGTTTTGATCAGTTTGAACAAATTCGTAATAACATTGTTTTGTTTTGTTCAATTTATATGAATTCGTCAATTAGGTGATGAAAATGACTTCAAAACGAAGCTGAAGTGAGGTAATAACCCATCCACTATCAGATTACATCATATATGACATTATTAATCGGTCATTATTCATATATTATATAATCGTTAATCGTTAAATCATTATATTAAACAGTTCTGCCGTCACGTGCAGTCCACCAGTGTATAGAGAGGGTCTTATAGCGGTGGTGAGGAAGTGTAGGTGGTGAGGAAGTGTAGGTGGTGAGGAAGTGTAGGTGGTGAGGAAGTGTAGGTGGTGAGGAAGTGTAGGTGGTGAGGAAAATAATGAGTGGTGAGGAAGTGTAGGTGGTGAGGAAGGTGATGAGGAAGGAAAAATTAGGTGGTGAGGAAGATGTAGGTGGTGAGGAATGTAGGTGGTGAGGCGTAGAGTGTTGAGTGTAGGTGGTGAGGAAGTGTAGGTGGTGAGGAAGTGTAGGTGGTGAGGAAGTGTAGGTGGTGAGGAAGCATTGGCAATCGTCACGTCTTACCAGCCAAGAGCTGCCACTTGATTATTTTCTGCCAAAGGGGATATGAGGGCGACTACCTGGAGTATTCAGGACTTCTCAAGTAATGCCCGGCGACCTTTGAAGCCACCGTGAGTTATTGGAGGTGGCAGTGACGTGGTGGTGCTGGGTGCTTCTCTGACTAATGAGATCGTCGGTAGTGTCTGTTAAAATCAACCGCGGGATGACGATGCTGTAAGATGCTGTC